CTTCGGCAGGAGGATCCGTCTCCATGCGGCTCTCGCTAGCACCGGTCTCCCCATTGTCATCGAATAGTTCGTTGTCGCTTTGTGCTTCGAAGTCAGGATCTTCAGCAGCTTCGGCGGCCATTTCCTTTGTGATCATCGAGGTAGTTATGGCACTAAGATCGAGCTGGGGGAACTCACGTCGGGTCAACCACCTACTAAGCTTGAAGCCTTTGCGGTAGCTTGCCGTCCCCACCTCGACCATCTACCTCCGATACTCTGCCGAAGTCTTGTATTCCTCAATGGCCTTAACCTTGGCCTCCTCCACTACTTGAAGGAGTATCTCAATCCGCTCCTTTACATGAGCCTCGAGATTCTCCACCTCCCTCTTCAGTGCTGCCTCCCACTCTGCGAGCTCCTTCTTCTCGGACATCAACAGCGTGATCAGCTCTTTCTTAGCCCAAGCGTCCTTCTTCAGTTGGTTATTATCGTTGCAGGCTAAGTTCAGCTCGGTATGGGCCTTGCGGGAAGATTCCTCGGCTACAAGGGCCCGCTTCAAATTCACCTCGGACTAATAAGTCAAGGCGTGGATAGCAGAGTTCACCTACCAAGAGAAGAGAACAAGCGTTAGTACATGAAAAGCTAAGTACAAGATCGAAGAAGATAAGTTAGAAAACCTACCACCATGCAGTGGGTAGCCGTTTGGGCTCCGAGCTGAGCAACCGGCACTTTGGCCCAGCCAGCAACCTCCTCGGCATACACCGCGCTTTTGCTCTTGAGGAGGCCGTATTTCGGAGTCAGAATGCTCCGAGCTGCGTCATCGCTACCTGAAGAAGCAGCAGCTGCAGGGGCGGGCTCCGAAGACACCGCCTCCTCGGGCGCGCGGGGCGGGGAGAGCTTCCCAGATTCCTCCTCAACCAAGTCTATCACAAGAGGTTGCTCGGCAATAGATGGCTGCTCGGGCTCTGGAACGGCAGCCGCGGAGACTCAACGCGAGCTCTTTTTGAATCCCGCTTCTTCTTCCCCTTCTTCACACTCCCAAAGAGTTCAGTCACAGGGATGTCCATGATAGCTGTAACCAAAGCAAACTGTTAGAAACAATACCAAAATAAAACAAAGGAAACACTACAAACAGTGACCTACCAGGACTCAGACCGGCCTGCACAAGCTTCTCCTCGGTCACGAAGTCTACGAACTTCAAGCCGAGCTCCGCCCAAGATCGGAGCGCCTCCCTTGTCTTCAGGTCCAATTGGACACCGGGGTCCTAGATGGCCGCCCTCCAATGGGTCGAGAAAGGCCACCCTCAGTGTTGCGGACCACAAAATAACGCCTTTTCCAGGCCAGGACCTTGTTCGGGAGCTCGTGCAAGAGTTTGAAGCCTGGACACAGTGACAGGTAGTAATTTCGCCTATGCTCGGGCAGAACACAATACGAGTTCTTTTTAATGGAAATGATAGAAGAGAAGATGTCGAGGTTGAGAGGAAGGTTGTAGTCGTGGAAAAGGGAGACGGTTCCTACTACGTTACGGATGGAGTTCGGGTGCAACTGATCTATAGTGATGTTAAACAGCTTTATGACTTCAACTATCATGGGGTGAAGTGGAAGTCGAAGACTAGCCATGAGCTGTTCCTCGAAAATCACGATCTCGTCGTGACCGTGCTCCCAAGGAAAATTACCTAAGGGTATACTATACACAAGGTTATTAGGAAGTCTGTACCGGGCTACTAGGGATAGGAGCCTGTCCGCCGTCATCATCGACAGGCCAAAGTTATCTGGCATCCGACCTCGATGTGAGGTGGAAGCCAAGTCACCAGAGGCCTCTCGCTCCCCCCGGGGTGAGTCCACCTCGGGAGGACCGCGGACCACATCCTGGCTCGAAGTAACCTCCTCGGCAGGACGAAGACCTACGGCCTGAGCCGAGGTGGGTACCTCAGCTCCAGCGGATTCAACACTCCCATCTAAAAGGCTATCAAAACTAAAGCTAGACATGGAAAGACACGGAATCGAAAAGGAGAGCTAGGGAAAACTCACCAAAGAGAGATCGAACTGAAGAAAGGAAAACGACCTCTGGAAGACATTGAATTGAAGGACTCGAGCACGACCTCAGAATGCGAATTATCGGACTTGTGGCTAAGAAAATGAGTCCCTTGCCCCCTATTTATAGCAACTGTATCCGGGAATCAACGGTCGAGATCGTCACGATCCAACGGCTCCTAGGAAAACTGGTTGCACGACCCCCGAGGTTGAAATCGGTTTAGCGTGTGTTTTGACGTCCGCAAAGTTTAAAAAATGGCTTGACGTCCGCGCGTACACTTGACGCGACCTGGGTTGTTCCTGGTTGAGCCAAGCGACCGAGCTGGTCCGACCACTGATTCGCCCGTCAGACCACCTAAACCTCGTGCCAAATCCACCTGTACTCGTCATGAACTCCCTGCACTGGGTTCTCGGGGAATGGGGGCAATTGATGAAAGGGTGATTTGGCCCCGACCTAGCGAAGAGGGGACACGTGGACACGACTTGACCAAGAGGGGACAACTCAACCTGGCAAGTTTAGTTTGCAACAATTGAGCTCAGGTATTCAGTCACCTCAGCATAAGAATCACCTCGGTGCAAGGCCACCTCAGCATAAGGCTCACCTCGGCATCGAGGCACCTCAGTATTTAATCCAGTTCGGAACTAAAAGACCGAAGTACTAGTTCGGAACCAACAACTCGAATCGCCACGTAACCGACTCCCACATAACCAACTCCAGATGTCTCTCTAACGGATTACAAATCTCTCGAGATCACGATGAGCTAACAGATCCCGTCTTTTCCGAGATTACAATGAGGAATCATCCCGACTCCGCCGGAATCGGAAGTAGAACGAGATAAGCCTTACCTGTATACTGCTCCTTCAGAAGCAGAACGGACTTTATCTCCACACCCCGGATATCCCGGAGCTCTTTCGTGAGCTCCATGACTACGCCAGTATATAAAGGTACCAACCCCAATGGTGCAAGGTGCGCGTGATTTTTCTACTCTCTAATTCTCTAGCTCTCAAAGTTTTTCAGCTCACATCAGTTTACTGACTTAAGCATCGGAGCGACCTTGCTGGGCTAGCCACCCCGGGTTCTCTGATCCTTTCTTGCAGATTCACTTATCTCGCCGCCCGACTGAAAGTCAGATCACCCTCCAGCAGGGAATAGACAAATTGTGCAACATCAATATCCAAAACAAAAACCAAGGAAATGTTGTTGCTTCATCACAGCCGACTAGATGGACACAATCCTGATTTGGAAAATCCACAAAGTCCACATCACAATGAAGGTGGAATCATGAAAAGCTAGAGGAGGGAACGTTGGCATGAAAACTAGAATCACCACCAAAAATTGCAGTGGGTGGTGTTAGTGGGAGAGAAAACTAAAACAGGGGCGACGTGGAGTGGTGAGGCAGAATCAAAGAGAGGAGAGAGAATGATAGGAAGGTGACAAGGAGGGGAGAAATGATGGCAAGGAGCGGGTGAGATGAGGGAGAAACAAAGAGGGGAAAGGAGGTGGTAGAGTTGCAGTGGCGACCATATGTGTGAGGTTAAACGAATAAGATGGAAAAAAAAACAGAGGGAAAGCTTCGTCCCATCTATTTATATGGTCAGATGCTAATTGAAAAGGAACGAGTGAGAGATAATGGCGGAGAGGAGAGAGAGGTGCTGGCGATTCGGTGGTCAAATTGCTGCTGTTACAGCAACAGTTTCATAGGGGAAAAGAAGGAAGATGAAAACAGTGAATGAAAAAATAAAATAAAAAATGAGAGGATAAAAAGAGCAAAGCCCAACTGCATCAGGCAACCTCGGACAACTCCTCGAAGTCGGCAACTGAGGCATCAAAACGATACGGACGCCAGAGATCGAGTTGGACGACCTCAAGTGTCAGAACAGAAACATGAGTTGTAACAATAGTAGTCAACCACCAAAGTTTCTTTGTGGCTCTCTTAAACCACCAGTCGAACAATGGTGCCATTTTTCTCTAATTCTGGAGATGGTATTATTGTCATTTTGTCAAAGTATAACAGTCATATGGTATGACATGTGAGCATATTGTAACGGATTGTTACAGAATCCTAACGTTAGGAGAGTAATTAGTCAATTATCATAAAACTTATAAGTACTCTAAGACAATAGCTAAACAGTAAAGATAGAATTAGTCAATTAGCTAAACAGTAAGAGTATTTTAAGAAATTTGTCCAAAATTTTATCAACACTAACTATTTCCTATTGGACCATGTATTGGAATCACCAAAAACCAATGAATATTTTATACCCTTATTATTGGATCCAACTTGTTATTAATCCCATCCAAGCCAATAATATAATACTTTTAGCATGGCCAAATCCAATTCAATAAGCAAAACAGATCATTCATCATCAACATCCATGCCTTATCCCAGCTAATATGGGTCGGCTACATAATCCGTTTCTCCGATCTGTCCTATTTAAAGTCTAGCATAACAGATTATTCAGATCCAATTTAATTGGATTGGATTCAGATTGGATCCAATCCATTGACAGCCCTTATTGATATCTGGTTAAATTAAAACCACCCAAATGGGTGAAACCAAGGTTGCAGTCTAGTTGTCTTCACGTTCAAATAGTCCTGCATAAACAAGCATGTCTTTAACTTAAATGCCACTTAAGCGCTCATAATTCAATGATAGATATGGCCATGTGTGCATATAGCACTGATCAGAACAGAACGGCAAAACAGGATTCAAGTAGTTAACCCCATATAGTTGGAACAAAGCTAGATGATGATGATGATGAATGTTCCAAAAGTTTCATCTCAACACGGAACCAGCAGTGAAACCAATTTTACAATTGAACCCATGAAAAGATCAAGGATTAAAGAATTACCCAAAATGCTTGGTGTGAAACAAATTTCCCTCAAAAGCTTTAGCTTTATGGCTTGTAATCGCATGCTTATTGCTTGGAATGAAGTGATACTGAGCCGTTCAAATACTCCAGGAAATGAAACAGCAGTAGTCGAAAACTTGAACCAAGAAGAAAACCACAAGAAAAGTATCTCATCCTGTCAATAATCACCTGTCCAGCTATTCTAATAAGGGTACATGGGGTACAAGTTCTTGCAGTCACTGTTCCGCTAAGCTAAAGGCGAGACCATTGATGGAAAATAGTGTCAATGTATGGATATTTACAAACCGAATGCCCACCACCAAGGCACCGACTAACAGTAATTATTGTATTGATCACAATATACCATTATTCACCTCAACGCTTCCTTGTAATTAGGCCCAAATGATTAATGTTTTAGCTACACGGCTACACCAGCTGGAACCAAAAAAAAAAAAAAGAAAAAAAATCAAATTCGAATAATTGGGCCCTTGTATACCCCCCTCCGGACCACAAAGTTATCAGGAGGCTGGAACTCTTCCAACCAAACCACTTCAGAATCTTTTATTCCATTTGATTCAAGAATATCTGAATGAAGATCAACTGGAACAACAACAATGAATATCAGAATCCAAAAGGATATTATTCCATAAATATGGATTAAAATGAAAAAGTAGTTACCAGATAAATCCTTCATGGGGGACTTCCGGAAGTAAGAGCAATGTCGTCCATCCTCCGAGGAGTAAGGGGGTGATAATATGTCAAAGAGAGCACAAGGAGTTGACGCTTTGAAACAGTGAATGTTGCCACCTCTGTTTGGGTAAAGTATTGTTGTATCACATGGCGCAGTCATCTCACAATCTCTAACAATCTTTGCAGGCCTTGCTGCAAATTGAAAGGAATAAAATAAGATGTACGAAATAGAAGGCATAAGATTTGTTCCTTCGGATACAATGTACATTCAAGAAGTGTAAGGAAAACCTATAATGTTGCTTCAATAATGCATTCACCAGCAGTGTGACATGTTAAAAAATCAATACTTCAAGCAACTGAACCTAAAATAAAAAGACTCAAAAAAAAAGAACCTAAAATAAAAATAAAGATTCCATAATAGACTAAACCCACAAATTGAATCTTCAAGCCTATAAAATGGAGTAAATCCAACTGTATTATAAACAAGATCTTAAAATTATTAACAATGACAATGTTATTGCATAAATGAACAATAAAGCATCATTGTTTACCTCATTCAAAATGTAGGATAATATTTTGAGATCAAATGGTACCTAAAGCTCAACCTCTACAGTTCAACCTAATTATGCCTGCAGCCTGCCCACCTTCATATAACCCATTAATGTAAAAAAGATCTCCTTCCCTTAAAAATCTAAAGAGCTTCAACCACATAGAGCTAAATTAACAAAGTCTCATTTATAGATAAATTCAGTATCACCATGAACTAGGAACAACTCAGTCTTTCTACCATGTGGAAGCTGCAGTTCAAAAACCAGCATCCAAATCCAATGAATGCATATCTTTGACCTTCCTAGAAGATAGTAAAGCTTGGGATTCAGCAATAGAAAAATCAACATCTAATGTTCAGGACAATTACTTACTGATTCACCATTTTTTTATTTTCCTTCTTTTACCCTCATTTTGAAGAATAGCTAGTTAGGCCCTGTTCAGTAACACTGGCCTCTGACACCTTTTTTCTTTTTCTTTTAATTTTGGTAATGGACTACACAATAGGTGGTAGCCCTCCCCCAAACCCAGGTGAAGGTGGGACTCAATCCAAGGTCTCCTCTATAACCAGCCAGAGACTTTACCAATAGGCTATCTGGCACCTTTGACCTCTGACACCCGAAATGCAGAAAAGCACTTAAAACAGTGCTTTTAAAAATTTTACTTTTCTACTTTTTCTGATACCTAAAAGTAGATAATGTTGTTTTGAAACCTAAATGCTGAAATCTGAGAAATGGTTGTTTTACCATTCTGACCTTTTGGGTGAATCTTTGATGCAGGCATGAAGGAACATGGGGAAAAAAATCAAGAGGCTCCCCCTCCAGGTCAAAGTTTCATGAGTGTCCCATGACGAATTGTGATTTTCTTAAGAGGACCATGGGCTCTGTTGGGGCCTATTGCCAACTCAACTGTTCTCTCTAACATGCCAAGATAAATGAAGCAGCTGATTTACGTCCCAAGTTCATTCATTCACTCAATAAAATTCAAAAACTTCTCAGTTTCCCAAGTTTTAAGGGCAGTCTTTTAAATACTACCTATTTTTTAATATTGGATTGATTTCCTAATTTAATCAAGTCTAGTACATTTGGATATCTTTATTAAAAGATTTCTTGAAAAAATTTCTTGTAAGAAATATTGGTTAATTGCCATGTGGGGTCCACAACGTTCTCTTGGACCTTAAGTTGGAATTTCACCACTTTTATTTAGAGCTAATTTAAGGAGTCAAAACTTGCTTGATTTGCTTCATTTTTGTGTCATAAATAGGTTACTTGTCCATCTAATGATATTATGACCTTCAATAAAGGAAAAAAAAAGTTATGGCCATTTTACAGGAATGGTTTTAGTGATTCAAAAGGCATGCTAGGTGCACAGGCAAGGTGCATTTTAGGGTATGTACCTCACCTAGGTCCCAGGCACAGCACTTTCAAAAGGCACACGCCTGGTGCACCTTGCGCTTCAGCCCAGGCATGCACATTTTTTCTGCTTTTCTATGCTTAGCAGCTGGGCTGCTAATGTTGCTCATTCATTCATCTTTATAAAAGATACTTTTAAAAGACACTAAAGGTTATAAGACCTTTCTTTATAGGGATTAAGAATATAAGACCCTGACATGGACTTGTTTGGGCTTGCTTCAAGGGGCTTAGTATAAAGGCGGCTCGTAAAATCAGGAATGCATAATGTTTAACATCACATTAGCTATTTTAAGTAATGCAATTGGAAAAAAAAAAGAGATTAAGAGTTTATATGCTTGATTTTGTTTTTAAATTTTCATTTTAAATATGTTTTACTTGTTATGTGTATGTGTTTTAATTTGAGATAATAGATTTTGTTTAAAACATTTATTTTAAATTTTAAGTTTATATTTTTAATTAACATTGTGCTTAATATTTTGCACTTTTTCGAATTTTTTAGCATTTTTTGCATTTTTACGCCTTGCTTCCTGTGCACCTCACGATCCTCACCTTGCACCTCACGCCTCAAGTGCAAAATGGCCCTTGTTCTTTTTTTGCACCTTGCACTTTTAAAACACTAGATGAGACTATTTAGTGAAAATAGTAACATCTAAAATGCTAATAAAAAAAAGCAATAACATCTATGGTTATTCTAGAATCATTGAAAGACCTGGCCTAACCCTATCTTCTACATCTATTAAAGATCTATAGTTGTAATAGATGAATGTGCATCCTTTCTTCTCTTTTTTTTTCTTTTGCTTCCGTATTCTCTTCTAGGGCTGTTCATGTTTGATGTCAAACCAACCAAACCGACCGGCCCAACCCAACCTGATTTGGTAGGTTTTTCAACACCACCGGTCAGTTTCAGTTTGTGTAGGTAAATAAACCGAACCGAACTGAACATGTGAGCCTTTAAGCAATTAGTCTCTAGTCATTCCTAATCTAGTAATCCCCATCCTAGTTTCTAGTTAGCTACTTAGCTTTAGCATAAAAAAAATATTAACAAAATGGGAATTGATTTTGTCTTTGGGATTGTTTTTCTTTTTTGAGTTGGAAACTTTACACCAAATAGGAAACATTGGATATGGGGGAGGGGGAGGGGGGGAAGACATAATTTGAATCAATTTCAAAAACCTTTTTGGGATTAGCAAGCATTGCAAGAAAGATCCCTACACCTTTAGACTTGCTAAGCTTAGGAAATTGCTTTCAATGGAGTCTTGGACAGTGGACGCGTTGGAGTCTTGCATTTTTTGAAAGAATCAAAGAGAGGTTCTACTCTCTAAGGCATGCTTTACACCAAAGAGAGGTTCCACCCTCCACCTGTTTCTTTATTAAAGTTGTCTGACCCAATATGTTAAACCAACCGTGTAGCCTAAAGGTATAAACAAAAACTTGAAAGAAAAAAGTAAAATTGTCATGGTTGGACGTGGACCAAGTGGGGTTAGTTGAACATAAACCGTGTAGCCTAAAGGTATATACACAAACCGACCGACTAAACCGATAAACCGACCCTTCATGTTTGGGTCAGTTTTGCTTCATGGTTGGTCGGTTTCGGTTTGATGATTTAGTAACCCGACCAGGTCGGGTCGGTTGAACAAAATGTCTTAACCGACCCAACCCGACCAGTGAACAGCCCTATTCTCTTCTATGTTTTAAATCTGAAATCCTTCTACTTCCCTCCTTACCCCATCTCGTATCTTATTGGAAAGGTGTCGGTGAATGACAGGATAAAAGTTTTAGGCCAAATAGGAATATTTATGGTTATTCTAATAATAAAAAATAAAAATAAATAAAACTATTTTAAGGTGTGGCCTAACCTTATTGTATACATCTATAAAAGGCCTTGGATTGTAATAGAATGATACAAATACGGTGGAGAAAGACTGTAAGTTTCAATGCTGTGAGGTCCATCCTCTCTCCTCTCTCCATTCTTAAAATGTATCTTTCTTTTTCTCTCCTTTTTTTTGGATTCGCTGCTTCTCTTTTTTGTCTTTCCTTTCTCCATTGCCTTTCATATTTCAAATCATAAATCCTTCTATTTCTCCTCTCTTTACCCATTTCATATCCAAGTTCCCCATTCTTACCCACCATATGAAGATTGTAGATTTTCCCTTTTCCAACCTGCATTAATAGTCCAACTATGCAGAACCTTGTTGAAAGAAAAGTTTTATTTCTGTCTAGTGGGCTTATTGGGCCTATTTTGGGCCTTTATTGTTGGGACTGTCTACTTTTTTCATTGTTCACAGTTGTTTATACATTATAGTTGTTGTACAACCAGGATATTCTGGTCATTTTCACTGCTCTGACAGATTCATATTACTATTACATGTTTGAATTTGCAACTCCAGAGTACAAGTTGATAGAGGGAAAAACAAATTGTCCCTCTAACCCTAGTCCTGGCTCTATAATTGATTTTTAACTTTTTATTGTTAATATAATTTTGGACTTTTGCTCCTCATACTTAATTTCTCAACAGTGTATAATTCAATGGTTACAACTTTTTCCATCAGTCATTTCCTAGATAAGATGACTAGGACATAAATTGGTTGCATTTTGTAGCAGAAATTGCATGAATGACAAGATTGTTATATAGAAGGTTCTTTGTAGCTCTTTAAGCCAAGTTTACTTGGTCTAATTTGCAGTCCACTCCAATTTGTTCTAAATTAGAAAGGTTTTTATTCACCTTGGATTGGGAGGAGCATTGGGGTAACCTAGTCTCTAGAGCCTTACTTTGGGCACCTTCTTTTTGGCCTATTTCAATCTTTGTGCAAATGGGTTCTTAGAAAAAGTTAAGGAATGTTGGGAGGAGAGCAATCCAAGGACCCTTTGTGAAGGAATGAAGTTCCACTGGAAGCTGAAGAAACTCAAAGGCAAAATTAAGGAGGGGAACATCAATCAGTTTGGGAGAATTGAGAAGAAGAAGCAAGAGCTGATTAGTAAGATTGAGGATCTAGATAGAAAAGAACATTCAGGCTTATTTGAAGAAAGGGATAAAGATGAATGGTGGTCTCTAAGGAGACAAAAATCAAGGAATAACTGGCTTAAGGAGGGAGATAAAAATACCAAATTTTTCCTTGCTTTGGCTAATGGAAGGAGGAGGAGAAATTTTGTCTCCAAGTTGATGGTAGAGGATGCCACTCTGACTAATCATAATGAGACTGCCCAAGCCTTTTTTTTTCTTTTGATGAATGAGTA